TCCATCCGCTCTGCAAACTAGGTTTTGCCTGTGGGTCTCGGTCCATTCTCAGTGGATTTTGGCATATAGTTCAAGGTGTGGATTCAGCCTTTTTGTTCCACACACCCATTTGTTCCTCATTTGCTGAGAAGACTTCCACTCCATTTGCTGCCTGTCTGTCCGCACTCTGACACTGCTGCCCAATTACTGTAGCTTTCCGACATATCTCAAAAGCAGGTAGTGCCAGCCTTGGGACTCTGTCCTTTTTCACAGTTGTTTTGGTTATTGTAAGAACGAAAGATTTGAGAGCGAAGCAAATAAAAGTTCTAAGAATGAGAAATATGACAGTTAAAAGTGAAATAGAAGGAATAAAAAATGGAAACAAAGCTTTTGTAAATAAGGTTGGGGGAGAAGAAGGATTGAAGGGAGAGGAAGGAAATGGGGAAAAAAGAATCAAGGTATATTTTGCACAGGTACAATTCCCTGTGATGAATGTGATCTTGTGTATCAACACTGTACCGATAAAATTAATTTTTTCAAAACTTGAAATTGGGTGACAGGTGACAGTGCCAGTGTAGATTACAAGTGAGGAGCTGCAAGCCAGAGCCACGTGGGAGTTGGGGGACAGTGTGACAGGCAGGGGCAGGGCCGCATCACAGTGAGAGTGAGTGGAACATGGCTGGACTGCCTCAGGGTTGGGACACCCAACCAAGCGGCCCACAGACTGCCCAGTGTGAGCCGCTGGTGGCACCACAGCCACACTTGTGCTGCTCCTGCAACCCGTGCCCTGCATCTAGGAACTTGGGGCTGCCAGTGAGAAAGGGGCCTGTGCACCTGCATGTCTGCCTCCTTCAGCTCTTTTCTTCATCCATAACCCTTCCAGGCTAGGTGTTTTCTTGTCCATAACATAAAAGGAGAAAGCTTGTTCACAAGCCACCTGAGACAAAGAGCACACAGTCCATGCTGAGTTGGCTGTGACTGTCCCTGCCAGCTGTGCCCAGAGTCTTCATGGCTGGTGTTGCAGTCTGGTTGGAGTGTGTGTGTGTGGGGCTTTTGTCTGTAGTGGCAAGGTGGCCTGGGTCAGCAGTCCCTGCCTGTGTCTACTGGAGCTCCCGGCAGTGTTCTGAACATGGGCGCCATGGCTCGCTGCCACTTAGCATCAGACACGGGGCTTTGGGGAATGTTCCGGAGCACAAACTTAATTGTAAAGGGGTTGTCTTTGTGCCCCATCTTTACAGACTTGTAGTGCAGTTTGACATTTTTTGACAGAGACAGCTTCTCCTGCAGAGGTGAGGACAGAGCAGAGCCTGACCCTTCTCATCTGGGCTGTCTTTCTGCTGGGTACTGTCCCCACAGCTCGAGGGTGCTGGTTGCCCTCCCAGGCTGGGCTGGGGGGTGTCTGCCCCTGAAGTGCTACAGTCGGTGGAAGGCCAAGGAGCTGCCCTCCTATGCCCTGTGACTTGTGCTCCAGCTTGTAGGTAGTGTATGGGTGGGTGCTCCAAGCAGAGGTTCTGAGGCTGGAAATACTGTGTGGCTTGTGGTTCAGCTTTGGATGGTCTACATTTTGGTTTAAAAGGCAGTAAAAAGTGTAAATGAAACTATAAGGTTGGTTAAGAACCAAGAGTTTTTCAGGGAGAACTATGGTACTTTAGGGAAGTTGGACTCAGTCCCTCTTTTAAGGATGGTGGTTGTGCTCAGCACTGAGTGGAGGGCATGGATCCCTGGGAAGAGCTCCTGGGCTTGGGAGACCCCTGGGAGGGTCATGGGAGGGGCTGGGGACAAGAGAATCCAGACATACAGTGGGTGGTCCTGGGAGCGCTGCTGCCTGCCTGCTGCTCTCTCCAACTCCTAGTTTTCAGGGCGGCCCTTAAAAGCTGCTGGTGGAGGGCTTCCCACTGTCTCAAATTAGAGGGACCTCAGCTTCCTTTATCACATGTGTGCAGCATGGACCAGGGGAGAGTGTCCAGTCATAATGACTGAGGCCAGGAGGTTTCTCTTTCCTTGTACTTCCCTGCATTTCACAAATTTTCTATAAAGAACACTTAATCCTTTGCCAGGAAAAACACTAAACTCATCCAGAAGGACACCTCAGTGTGTGCTCTTGGTTCTTAGATGCATCCCGAGTCTTGCGCATAAGGCCGAGTATGGAGGGCCGTGGAGCTCAGGGTAGAACCAGCAGCCAAGTGTAGGGCCCGGGCTGCCCCCTTCCCAGTGTGTCCTGAATCCACCTACTGAAGGTTCTTTTAACGGGATGTGTGTGTGCTGCATAAGCCCTGACTGCTCCTGCCTGAGGGGCTGGAGGATGGAGCCCATGGAGAGCTGTCCTCCTGATGCTTGCACTGTGGGGGAACTGGGGTCTGCTGCCTTGCCAGGCGGTGCTCTCTGGGACTCTGGATGAACCTCTCCACCTAGGCCGTGGGTCCTGGGAGGGGAGGTGCAGACCACGCATGGCTGGGGATGCCCTATGTGGGTCCTGTCTGAGGAGCTCGCATGTCCACCATGCAGATGCAGATCCATGGTGTGTGGCCTGGTCGGCTGCAACTGCCCTTTACAGTGGCAGGTTACTTTTTCCTGATCTTTTATGTTAAATCAGTCTGTTACATTTTGAAAACAGTGTGGTGTTTCTTTGCCTTTGCACAGCTGCTTATCTTAACCCAAGTCCACAGATCTGGACTGACCATGGTCTGGGGTCTGTCTTGACATGGCGCTGGCATGCGCATGCTCGGCGTCACAGGTTTGTCTGCCTTCTCTCCTCTTGAGAGCTGGGGCTGTGAGGCACTGCAGACAGTACCTCACAGAGAGCTTTGGCCTGCTCTTGGGATGACGTAGGCCAGCGTTTGGCTGAAGTTGTCCTCCGTGGTCCTTTGGCCTGTGGTTTTTTAAAGTACACGTTGCCTTTATATCCACCTCCATCTGCTTTTCTCCACTTACCTGTTTCATATCCAGGTGCCTAGGAGAATTTAAGGTACTTGGCAGAGGCATGTGGTCATTTCCTGGCAGGACTTTCGATTCTGTCCACCTTGTGTCCTAACTATAGCCTCATTGGCCTAGCCGTAGGGCACTGACCCCTGCCCTGAGCATCCAGCATGCTGACCCCTGCAGAGGCTCTCGTCCAGCCCATGGATGCGGCATCCCTGACTGTGCGTGCTGGCCCATCCATGAAACACTGGTCCCTCCGGTGGTGCTGACCCATCCACAGGAGCTCTGCCTCCACTGTGGGTGTGTCAGCCCCATTCTTAGATGTGCCAGCCCCATCTTTAGGCCCATGTCACAGCTAACCACTTGCTTCCTCATGCTCTTATCATGTCCAAAATTCTACTGTTTGTTTTGAGACAGGGTCTTGCTATGTTGTTCAGGCTGGCCCTGAACTCACTGTGTAGCCCAGGCTGGCCTCCAACTCAAGGCGATTCTCGTGCCTCAGCTTCCCAAGTGCTGCAATTACAGGCCTGTGCCATCACTCCCAGCTCAAGAATGCCACTTTTACTATGACTTAAACCATTCTTTTAAATTTCTGAGGAGGTATTTTTTTTTTTTTTAAAGAAAAAGCTTCTGATGTCATTAACTGCCTCATTAATAAATTCCAAGCTCGGGAGTAGGCCATGGGCATTGTGGCAGCCCTCTGTCTTCCTGCCTTGCCCACTGTGTGCCATGCTCTTGAGAGTTCCCAGGATAATGGAGTGGTGTTAGAAGTGTTGGATGGCTGCAGCGGAGTACAGGTGGCTTGAGTGCTGATGTCATGTTCCCCATGGTCCCTTTTCTGGGGCCAAGCCCATGCTGCGGGAGCAGTTTGTTCTCCCGGGAGCCCCCACCCGGCTGTCTGGTAGTGCCTCACCCGTGCATGCTGCTGAAGGTCTCTGACGTAACGGGAATCTTACTAACTGCGCTGCTGGGCCTTTTCTTTTAAACTCCTTCTCAAGCGTTGGGTTTTGGTGACTTCAGTAGAGCAAGTTGTCTCAGCAGCTGGGTTTCAGGTTTTGTTTGTTTGATCTCAGTATGGCTTACTTTGAAAGGGATGTGTGGGGAGGTTATTACTGGGCCTAAATTGGCTTTTTACATCAAGAGTTAGAGGTGAGCTCAAGGGAGAGGCCTCCCGGTTACTCCCTGATAGTGTGTCGGGTTCTGAGAGAGCCAGGCAGTGTCACAGACTCTTCTAGAACGCCAAGAATTTCTCCAACTCTCGTTCCCCTCGAGGGAAAGCCCAGGGTTTGCATGACGTGCAGACCTGCAGGCGGTTCTGGCCATGCTTCTCCTGTAGGATGGTCACTGATTGTGTCTCTCCTTTAGGAGAGAGAGACCAGGCTTCCGTGGCCCCTGGCAGCTTGGAGGTGTGGCCAGTGCAAGGCCAGCGATCCTCCTTCTGTGTGTTTTATTTTTCAGTGTGTCTGTGTCACAGGGCCAGACCATCCAGTGACGATATCTGAAGTCTGTGTGAGCCTTCACACTGATGCATTGTGTGAAATTAAATTTGTGAGTCAGATAATTGTTTCCGGTGGAATTCTGAGGGACCGTGCTCTGTCAGTGAGATGCCAGGGGGACTTGTATGCAGGCCACAGAGAGGCTGTGTCCTGTGTGCACAGCCAGCCCATGACAGTGCGCCCTTTAGTGCTTCTGAGATGGCCTGTGGGAGCAGAGGGCAGAGCGTCCTCTGAGGCTCAGTCCAGGCCCTGCAGACCGAAACCCGCATCGCTGTGAACCCGGGTGGTGGAGGCTGTGGTGGCTGCAGGTCTGTGTGCTCCTGTGCAGGCTTCTGCCTCTGTCAAGTGGGTGGCCCTCGAGGCGGACAGTGGCAGGTAGATGCAGTCATTGCATTGCTTTCCTTTGCTGCCTGGTTTATTTATAAAAGGAAGGCTCTGCTGCTGTTTGAATTCCAGACTCTGTTAACAGCCTCTTAAGAGTTTTCCTCCTGTAGTCCTTCTTCACTGGAGAGCTCTCATGTGTTCCTCACATGGCTTAGTCCTCTGGGTAGGGGCCTTCATTGCACTGTGGGAGCATTTCCTGATTCAGGTTTCCTTGTCCCTCAGGGATGGTCCTCGTGCGGAGTGAGAATGGGCAGTTGCTAATGATCCCTCAGCAGGCCCTGGCCCAGATGCAGGCTCAGGCTCACGCCCAGGCCCAGCCTCAGAGCACCATGGCACCCCGCCCAGCAACTCCCACAAGTGCCCCTCCTGTCCAGATCTCCACCGTACAGGTGAGTGCACGTATGTGTGATGTGTGGCGAGTGCCCCTCCTGCTCCCTAGCACAGCGCACACTGGAGAGGCTCCAAGGGCCAGGGTGGTCCTTTGTGAATGGGTCCCATCGTCAGATAGGGCCTGGGGTGGTGCTGGTCTCCTGTCCTCCCCCGGCACAGGATGGTGCCCACTTGAGGAGCCAGACTTTGCAGCCAGTACTGAGCATGACGGCTTGAGTGTAGTTGGAGTGAACACTTGGACTCAGCTGCCCTGGCTGACCCTTGTCCTTTCCCTGGTTTCTTGTGACTGTATCTTCCTATGTCTTAGTTTTCTCCTTTGCAAAAAGGAGGTGATGCTAGTAAGTAGCTCTTGGGACTGTCACAAAGACTGAGCCACATTTAAAGAACGAAGAATAAAGGAGCAGAGCAAAGTCTCAGGCAGCATGAGAGTGTCACAGGGTGGCCCTGCTCCCCAGTAACTGATGCTGTGGGGCTGCAGCTCCAGGCTTGTGGGGGAAAATGTGCCCTGGTCTTGGAAGCCGAGACTGAGTTCTCCTCTTGTAGCGTGTGTCCAGCACCGTCATTTCTGTGGGGCACATGTCAGCACACCACCTGTTCCACTGTGTGCAGACCTGTTTTTGCCCATGCTGTGACCCACTGTTTCAAGCTGGTTGGCAGGCTGGAACCTGGAGTGAAGGCAAGAATGATCCTGACAGCTTCTGTCTCCTGTGACTTAGGCCATGCTGTCTTGGGAGTTTGTGCTTCTGTCCTGTACACAGGTGTTGACATGCTTGAGCCAGAACACACACACACACACCCCGTACCTGAAATAGCACTGAATGGCACCTTTTAGGTCTGAGGTGTTGTGTCCCCTGAGTAAGAAGCATGTGGGCAGCATTTGTGATTTCACTTTAGCCCTGGGCCATGTGTCCCATGGGTCTGTAGCACCTTTGCTCTCCATCTTCTCATACATCCTCACTTCAGCTGGTCCAGGATTTGCAGTCTCTGCATCCTCTTCAGCCTCTGACTTCCCCTCATGAGCTCTCAGCCAGGATCCAGAGGGATCTTGGACCCTTTTAGTGCGGGTTGACAGCTCCCCAAGACAGCAGTACAGTAGTGGGTTTTTCTGATGTCTGCTTTCTTTAGAGATCCTATTTCGTAGACTGTGTTAAAGAAAGCTAATGGTATATATAGGATTGTCTATGAAAAGATTTCGATTATATACTTGGCCTTGGAGGGAAAACTAGCCCTCTGGTGGCTTCCTTGAAAGCCGTGACCAAGCTGTGGACCCGCTTGTGTGTACTAGTTCTGTACGTAAGGATTGCTTTTTGTGTGCAGTGGGTAGGAATTACTTTTACTTACAGCTTGTTTCAGGTCAGTCTCAACTTACTTTTCAGGCTCCTGGGGCACCTATTATTGCACGGCAGGTGACCCCCGCCACCATAATTAAGCAAGTGTCTCAGGCCCAGACGACAGTACAACCCACCACTACCCTCCAGCGCTCCCCTGGGGTGCAGGTAAGAGGCAAAGGCTGGAGTATCTGTGGGGGCTGGTGAAGTGCACGGCTCTTTGGTGTGAAGACCAGGTTCCATGAGTTGTCATGTTGGGGGCCACGTTGAATTGAGGAGGAAGGCTCTCCATAAAGAAAGTAGTTCTTCTCTTCCTGTTGACACAGGGTGGTTCAGAATTCCTTTGTCTTTAAAGCCATTTAGTCTCTGATGCCGGAAGTGTAATTGAAAATCTCCCATATTAAGTTTGACCTAAGGCAAAGAAACAGGAAAGGCTGGTGGGAATAGTTTGCGTTGCATGCTTGTGGTGAGCACTTCTGCACATAGCTTAATTCTCACGCCGCCTTCGTGAAGGAGACGCCAGTGCACCTCATCTTGTGCTGCACTGAGGTTGATGGTGCCGTGTGCACCTGGCCCCCCCGGGCTCCTACCGGCTGTTGGCTGCTGCCTCCCCACAGCCTGCGTCCTTCCCCAGTGATCATAGCGCAGTCTAGATGTTCAGCACGGTGCTGCTTAGGGAAAGACAGACCTGGTGAGCCAGTCAGGTGGGAGTAGCTGGAAGCCAGTGGTTCCAAGCTCTCCCTGGTGTCTGCACAGCTGTGGGTCTCTGCAGAGTTGACCCCTGTAGACGAGGCCCTCACTGGCTGTGCCTGGCACAGTGCCCATCTCGCTGTGATTGTGTCGCAGTGCTGCTGGCTGGTGGGGTCCTGAGGCTGGATGGTGGGTGGGTGCTCCAGGACAACGCAGCACCTCGGCTCTCTCCTCCCTTTTGGAGCTAGGCTGTTTCCCTTTGGTAGCTGCAGGGGTTGAAGTCAGGTAGAAGAGCAGTTCTGTCCCGGGAGGCTGCAATCCAGTGGAAAGGCCTTTGTACATTGGAGCAAGAGGCTGAGTGACTGGGGTTTCTGAGAGGAACTCTCAGCCCTGAGTCCCTCTGGTGCAGCTGCTCTTCAGATACAGCAATTTTTTGAGAAGGTAGCAGAGCTCCTTTTTGCGTTCTTGGATCAGATTTAGTGAAGGTGACTTTATCAGAGTAGGTAGACTTGATATTTATGCCATTTAGGTAAATGTGTATTCTAGGGGCCATAGAAATAACTTTTGAGGTAAAAGAAATTGAAAGGTGAAGAGTCCTGGACGTTTCACCTCATCCCCAGGTGATTCTTTTTGTTTTTCTTGCACATTTTCTTCATTTGAAGTTTTTACTTGCCTTGGCAGTCTTCAGTCACAGGGTATCTGCTTATTATGGCAAGTGAGATGCGCAGCCTCATGGAGACCAGCTCTTCACCTCCTCAGAGCAGCTGCAGGGCAGCTTCGGGAGCCCTGGGGGTCCTGTCAGTTCACCAGCAGCTTCCAGGGTTGGTCTCTGCCTCCTGATCCACAGGAGCTGCTCAAGAGTTGTAGTTCAGGGTCACACTGCCCCCTACCTTCAGAAGTCAGAAAAAGGCAGTGTTTAAAAGCATTGGAGTGAGAAAACATTGACAGCTAGATTCATAAATTGAAAGAGTGCTACTTTAAAATATTAACAGATATTTGCATCATGATTATTTATGTAAAATGGCAGTGTTAAGAATTGACTGAGGATATGTGGTTTGACTTGCTGGTGTTGTTTGAAGTCTGGGTGCCACTTTGCTGGATGTCCCTGTTTTGACCAAGCAGCAGCACTTCCCGGCTCACAGGCTGAGGACCCAGCAGTGATTTCCTCTGTGCTCTCTTCCCGAGGCTTTTTGATGCGACTCACTTCTGGAGAGCAAAGAAAGTTGGAGTGGGTAGTTTGTGGTCCTGGGGGTTTCCCTTCCCTTGGTCTTGTGTGGCTCCTGCAGGAAGGACTGTGTGTCCAGAGTCAAAGTGACAGGGTTCTGAGGAGCAGCTCTCTCTAGTGTTTTGAGTTTCTGAGAGATAGCAGCTGCTTGGCTGTTAAGATAATTCACACCTGTCACCATGCGCCTTGCATGATTGGCTTCTGAAGCCCAGGTTCTTTCCAGTGATTGGCTCTGTCCCCATCAGGTTTTAATAAGGGAACAAAGCACAGCTGCCCAGGAACTCAGTCCCGTGTCCTCAAAGGTGTGGATCTATCAGAGTGCCCTAGGCCACCTTGGGTGGCTCCAGGGTTCAGTCCCACTAGTCCCTGCCTACCTGGCAGAACTGGAGACGCTGAGGGCCTATGGCTGTTTGGATGCCCCTTCCTCTGCAGGAAACTTTCACTGGACTTGAGGCCTGTGTCTCACGTTGGCGGCATGAGATACACTCACCTTGTGTTTTGTCCTCTTGCAGCCTCAGCTTGTCCTGGGCGGTTCTGCCCAGACAGCCTCCCTTGGGACGGCCACGGCTGTTCAGACTGGGGCACCTCAGCGGACAGTCCCAGGGGCAACCACCACCACCACAGCTGCCACGGTAAGAGCCACTTCACCTCCCAGGACCTCTGGGAACAGCTGGGCCCATCACTTGCTTTGAGATGGTTCTGGTCATCTTGCGTGCCAGACCGCAGTCCAGTATGCCCAGGGGCTTGTGAATAGTTTGGCACCCATGTGTCCTGTCTCTTCCTAGAGTTGCCTGGTGTACAGGAGACCTGCAGCCCGAGGTGTGGAGAGCTCGGGGCTTGGCCACCCACTCTCCCCAGTACCTTCACGGGGTGGCAGGAAAGGTTAGGCCTTTCTGCTGAGGTTTCAGACTTCACAAATGGCCGGAGCCCCAGTGGTCATGTTGAGGAGGTCACCCTGGGCTGAACGGTGCCTGTAGTTGGTAGAGCTGTGGTGCCTTCCACTTGTAGCTGTACTTCCTGTGCTTGTATAAATCTTCAGGAAAACTGAGATTATCTTTGTAACTTTTTCATGTTTCTTTGTTAAGTGTTTTCCATTTGTTTATTTTTAGTTGAGTGGAATTTAGTTTCTTTCATGTGGGCTTAAATTGGCATTGATCTGTCTTCACAATAAGCCACATTAAGATAAATATGTTTATGGGCTGGGGATGTAGCTCAGTGGCACTGCACCTGTCTCACAAGCACAAGGTCCTGAGTTCATTCCCCAGTACCTAAAAAAAAAAAAAACCTAAAAACTGTTCATAGGTTCATCTTTACACACTTGTGGTTACTTACTTGGTTGCCCTCCTAGGAGTGGTGTTGCTGGGCCGAGAAGTCCTGCTACTCGCTTCAGCAGCTTGTATACTAAAGTCAGGAGCAAGGCCTGGTTTGCACCCCTCAGTAAGAGGTGTTTTCTTGAAAAAGTTCAGAAACAAAATTTACATGTCACTTTTCCTGTGATGCTGGGAATTAAACCCAGGACCTTTGCACTGAGCTGCACCTCCAGTCCTTTTCATTTACGAGGCAGCCTTCTCAGTTGTCCAGACTGGTCTCAGGTTTGGAATTCTTCTGCCTCAGCTTCCAGACCACTTGGGTTACAGACATGGAACTGCTAGACCTGGCTTTTGTGTGTCTTACCTGCAAACCTTGTTGTTTAGCCAGAGGGTGTGACGAACATCTTTTTTGACTTTTTAAAACTATTTCTTTTAATCCAGGAAACTATGGAAAACGTGAAGAAATGTAAAAATTTTCTGTCTACATTAATTAAACTAGCTTCATCTGGTAAACAGTCTACGGAGACAGCAGCTAACGTGAAGGAGCTGGTGCAGAATTTATTGGTAAGAAGAGTGTGCGCGCCATCCCTTGCCCTTGAGCGCTGTGTCTGTGACGAGCAGCTGTAGCGGTGTGGCCTGTGTCAGCAGCAGGCGGTCAGAGGAGCCTCTGACCTCCTATGGTGGGGGAGCCGTGTGCACACCTGTTGGCCTGCCTTGCCTGCTCTCCTGAGTGTGGTGTGTGGGCCTAGCGCCCTGACAGCTTCCTGCTGCCTTTGTGTTGCAAGCCCCTCCTGATGTAAACTGCTCCTTGTCTGGCTCATTTCCTCTCCACCCGCTGCAGCACATCGCTCTTCAGCTGAGTCCAGCAGTCACCCCCAGGGTGCTGTGCTCTTCTTAAGGACCTGGCAGACCCCAGCCCTTTCTTATGTGACTCTTAGGAGTGGGTTGGCAGCAGCAGTGGGTAATCCTGAGTAAAAGTGGTCATGGCAGGAGGGGCTTGTCTGTCTCCCGTGATGTTCCCAGGGGTAAGCAGTCTGGCTGGACCTTCGTGCCAGGGGCCCCACAAGGGTGACCCTTCTCACGGTGCAGACAGGCTG